GCACAGCAGTGGGATGAAGGCAGCTTTGCTCTCAGCCCTGGGGGGCACAAGGACCCTCAGTGAGGCTGACGTGGTGGCCCCGATGCTGGCACGGCCCCCCCATACCCTCATGCTCACCCCACTGGGGCGTCCTGGCAGCACCCGTTCTGCTCCGGCTCCTCTATGATCAGTGTGGGCTCCAGCGCCAGCTCCTCCTCTGCAAAGGCAAGGGCAAGATTGAGGGGTGCACAGCTGCCCTGCCCCAAAAAAACCCCACCGCCCACCCCACTCACCCCCAGCGATGTCCAGGGCGCAGAGGCAGAGCAGGCAGCGCTCAGACTCGCTGCTCGCCTTGGCCGGAGCTGGGCTCAGCTTCTCACCCGTCCTGCAGCCAAAATCACAGAATCCCAGCATGTCAGGAGTGGGAAGGGACCTGGAAAGCTCCCCCAGTGCAACCCCTGCCAGAGCAGGATCACCAGAGCAGTCACACAGGAACACGGCCAGGGCTTTGGGTGTCTCCACACAAGGACACTCCACAACCTCTCTGGGCAGCCTGGGCCATGCTCCATAACCCTCACACTCACAAACTTTTGTCCTCATCTTCAGCTTGAACCTCCTGTGCTCCAGCTTGGGACCATTGCCCCTTGTCCTGGCATTGGACATCCCAGAGCAGAGCCTGGCTCCTTCCTCCTGACACTGCCCTTTCCAAATGGATCCCCATGAATGAGGGCACCCCTCAGTCTCCTCTGCTCCAAGCTCAAGAGCCCCAGCTCCCTCAGCTGCTCCTCAGCAGGAGATGCTCCACTCCCTCTAGCATTCTTGGGGCCCTGCTGGACTCTTTCAAGCAGTTCCTGTCCTTCTTGAGCTGAGGGCCCAGCACTGGACACACTATTGAGATGTGGTGTGAGCAGGGCAGAGCAGAGGGGCAGGAGAACCTCTCTGCCCTACAACCACCCCTTCTCATCCAGCCCAGGATGGCATTGGCCTTCCTGGCCACAAGGGCACGTTGCTGGCTCATGGTGCACCCCAACCTCCCTGCCACCCCGGGGTGCCCCCCATGCAGAGGAGATGCTGTACCGGTAGACGGTGCTGATGGTGGAGGGGAAATCCTCCTGCAGCCCCAGGAGGAAGCTCTCCATCAGGCGGTGGATGCTGGGCTTCTCTTGGCGCTGGAGGGCAAGCAGAGAGGGCAGGAATGGGACATGGGGGTCCCATCCCTGCTGTGGGGACATGGAGCTCGAGACTGGGGACAGGGGAGTCCCTACCTTGGTGGGAATGGGAGGCGCAATGACGGTGGGGACCTCGAAGAAGTGGTTGTAAAAGGCGATCTCCTTGGCCGTGTACTCCCGCATGGGCCGCACCACCAGCACGTCGCCATGGCGGTCGTCCACAAAACCCTTCAGACATCCCCCCCATGGCATTGTGTCACCTCTCTGGGCCAGGATGGCCGTCCCCAGCTTGGGGACAAGGTGTTGGGGGGCTGCTCACCGTGTCGACGGCCAGGAAGGCGCCGCGGCCCAGTGCCAGGTTGGTGAGGAGTTTAACGGCCACGCGGGTGCAGCTCTCGCCCGTCATCACCTTGGCGTAGCCCCGCGTCCGCGCCGTCTGCAGGATGAGGTGGGTCCTGTGGGGACACACAAAGTGACACTGGGTGCTCACATCGACCACGCTGTGCCCTGTGTCGGGCAGGACTGGACCCTCACC